ACTGCAGATGAGGACCTATCGATGCCGTCGCAGAGGAGGAGGAGGAGCAGCACCGGTCGCAGGAGGAGCAGTTGCCGTTGCCGCAGGAGGAGGAGGAGCGGGTGGAGGACGAGGAGGAGCGGGTGGAGGACGAGGAGGACGAGAGGGTGGAGGACGAGGAGGACGAGCGGGAGGAGGACGAGGACGGGGAGGAGGAGGAGGTCGAGGAGGAGGCAGCAGCGGGTTCGGCTTCCTCTGGTACGCCGAGTGTGTACTTGCGAGGTCCCGCGAGCCTCCCTACGCGGCCGATACCTTCTTACAGACGCCCGAAGATTGCACCCGACGGAGAAACGTAAGTAAATTAACATGTTTTCACTACTTCAAATGATATGTTCAAAAATCACACTAGAAGCTAACTATTATTCTTAATAACTTGTGCAGGGGCTGGACGGTTGTAGAGTCTGCAGGATGTCACACACGCAAGGTCAGTGGCATCCTTGGCCTTCTGGTCAAGGAACACTTCCCTGGCTTGGTCCAGTTCGCCGGGAGAGAGCCGCCCTACATGTTTGCCCACTACGCCAACGCCCCCGATGCTACATATCTGCTTGGCAGGACATTCCCCAACAAGGCGGAGCGGGTGAAGGCTGAGCTGTGGGTAAGTCTTCCTCGCACTACATTGTTCAATACATCGCATTCATTGGACATTTTTTGAAATAATGAATGAATACTTCATGTGTATATGCAGGATTTCTTCAGACTTCAGGAAGGCTTTGAGGACACGGCGGATGTGGTGCTAACCAAAGCATGTAAAAGACTCGTGAAGCAGCTGCATTACGAGGCACGCGTCCAGGCCATCATAACATACCACGGGTCCTACCTTGCAACGAAGGTCACGAAGAAAGAAGCAAGAGATATGGCACTGACCAAGGAAGAGTTCATGAAGGTAAATGTATTCGAACATTAATAATGTAGTGCTGATAGCTTTAATTTAACTTCTTATATGTCATATACTTCATGGCTTGTAGGTGGTTTCGTGCTGGTGCTCCGGGGATCCCCGATGCTGGGAGATGATGGTGGACAAGTGGTTGGACCCCGAATGGATTGCCCAGCACAAAGCTTGTCGGGAGCGCCGTTTGCATATGATAGGTGTACCACACCATCAAGGCAACCGCAGCCTCAATGGATACGCGCAAACTTGGGTACGAGAATCCATTTTTTTATTACAACGTTGTATGTTGCATGATTTCTAATCATCTTGCTATTTTTCTCGCAATCATCGTCGCATGGTGGGCAGCCGATTACCCAGTTCATGGCATATGCCATGGCCCATAAGGGCAAGGCAAAATCCGACGTCTCCTACAACCCGGATGACCCTCCTTCGGCATACAGCAACGCGACCGTCCATAGCCGTCTCAGTCAGTATACTGAGATGGCAAGGGTGGTCCATGGGCCAGAGTACGATCCGAGCGCCCATGACTTTGACGAAGAGATCGTCATGAGGGTGGGAGGTGGCAAGAAGCATGGGCGGTATTGGATGGGTGATGGTGTCATCGACACGTCCTCTACTCCCACCCTCTCCCAGATCCGAGCACGGAGCACGAGCGCAAGCCCGGCCATACGTCCACGGCCAACCACTGCTTCGCACCTTGTCAATGAACTCCAGGTAATTTCTGTTTTATTCGTTGCTTATTGATTTTTACATACCTTTGCCTTACTTTAACATTGGGGGTCAAATGTTGTAGGCCCAACTGCTAGAAGAAAGGAGGCTTCGCGAGGAGATGGAAGCGAGGGCGGTGGAAGAGCGGGAGGCCCAACGACAGAGGATAGAGGAGCTGGTGGGGTTCGTGTCCACTCTTGGCGCCGCTATGGGGCGGACCATGCCAGCTAGCCTAGTCTTGCCACTTCCTCAAGCAGCTACTCCTGTGAGTACCAATATATTACTTACTATGTTCCAACCTGACATAGGGCACACTAGAAAAAATATGCAATCTCAAACATACAATATGGTGTTGGTGGTGACGGCGGTTGTTGTTGTGGTGTGGTGGTGGCAGTTGTGGTGTTCGGGTGGTGGTGGTGTTGGTGGCGGTGTATTGATATGTATGTTCTTGACGGTCATCGTGCCGTTTGTTTTCTTGTAGGGTTTGGAAACCTCTCCGTGCAGGAGAGGTTCTGCTGAAATTTTTTATTAACAGTATCCTTTTCATTTTTTTCAGCATCAATCGGGCGTGGCATCGAATCAAATTGGAGGGTCGCCGGCTTCACAAATTGGAGCATCGCCGGCACCACAGCTTGAGCGAATCAAGTGGAAGGGTCATGGCTTCTGATTGGGCGTCACGGCACCACGGCTTGAGCCGAATCAAGTGGAAGGGTCGCTGGAGCATCAAACCACGGGCCTCTTCACCCTTGACAATCGTCGTGATCGACTTTGTTGTGAACTTTGTTAAGAAATTTGGTTGTGCACTTATGAACTTGTGAACTTGTGGCACATTTGGACTTTTGGTATGAACATGTGATATATGTGAACATGTGGTTCTTATTTATGATTCATGTGATATATTTGTGGTGTTTGAATATGATTTATATTTGTGTCATAAATGGAATAATCAAAAACAAATTCAGCTTCGGTTACTTTGCCTAGTGTTAGGGTCCGACACTAGGCAAAGGGCCACACGTGCACACACAGGAGCGAGGCTTTGCCTAGTGTCGAGAAACCGACACTAGGCAAAGTAGGCGATTTGCCTAGTGTCGGAGGGCGACACTAGGCAAAGCTTGGCATATTGCCTAGTGTAGGCGGCACGACACTAGGCAAAGCTTGATATATTTGCCTAGTGTCGGACGCTTTGGCACTAGGCAAACCTTGCATACTTTGCCGAGTGTCGGACTCCGGCACTAGGCAAAACATCCGTTACGATTTCCACCGTCAGTGGAATGCTTTTGCCGAGTGGTGTCCTTGACACTAGGCAAACACTTTGCCGAGTGTCCGAGGTTTGACACTCGGCAAAGTGCTCTTTGCCTAGCCCGCCTCTGTCGACCCTTGTTTGCCTAGTGTGACACTAGGCAAACTGTTTGCCTAGTGTTTCTGGGCCTTTGCCTAGTGCCTGCGGCACTAGGCAAATCCTGCGATTCCAGTAGTGTACAATGACTACAAACATACAATATTTTACCAACTAAGTCAATGTTACAATTGAAGTCTGCAAACACATTACTACAATATAACCACCTCTTGAATATTCTTCTAGCACAACAGTGGGGTCTCAGAGGTGCAAGAGCACGTTGGAGGGGGTGTATAGAGCCTACTAGAGTGCGTAAGGGTTTGGAGCCCGTGATGAGCATGTGGTCGCCAATGGCTCAACACAGACCAACAACTGTTGAATCTGTTATGAGCAATTGGCCTCCGCTAGCTAAACGCAGACCAAAAACTACCAGCGCACTGAATAGCATTACATTGCTACTAGGTTGCCCTAGCTTTGGTGTGGCTCTATCTTCACAAAAAGTCTTCTAGTACCTCTCATGCATCGTGTTGACTATATATAAAATGAAAGGTGTATGTGAAGACCTTTCACCCATAGAGAACACACATGTTGAGGCTATACACAAGTGGTCGACACACATGCAGGGGACCTAGCTACACTAGCCTCTCTTCTGTCCGTGAAGGCATCCAGACACATGTTTTTATAACCAGAAGCAATGGTGGTAAGTAGTATTAATAGTGGAGAATCATTGAATTGGGAGGTAGGTAGATCCAATGGCCGAAAAGAATACTGATGGGTCAGTAACAAAACCGGTAGTGATACAAAAATGTCACTACCGAGTAGTGGATTAACATTGCTACTGCCGGTTTATAGCTTGATGGGGTAGTGATATATCATTGTCGGTTGGTGGTTTGAGCCAACAGTGATAGGTGACATCACCGCCAGGCGAGTACCTTCCCGCCAATTTTTTGGATGACCCGGCACTGATAATTAGTCACTACCGGCTCTAGCACAATTGGCAGTGATGGCCCAGTAGTGATTGTGTTCTGGCGTAGTGTTAGAAGCAATAGATTGGATTTTAAAAAGTGTGAGTAGGATACTAGACTCTATTTTACTACTACTTCACTCTTTTATAGTATAGATAGATAGATTCAAGCTATTTACATTTAACCTCACCGAAAAATCCAATAGACCCCAAATCGATGCAATGCAACTATTCTACATAAACATTTTTCATGTTTATTAACTAAAATTAACTTACTCCCTCCCTCTCAAAATAAATGCACGTCTTGCTTTACGAGAAGTCAAATTTTTTTGAGTTTGACTAAAAATATATCAAGTAATACGAACATTTGTATCTCCAAATAAGTATATTACAAAAGTATATTCAATGTTAATCTAATGATACTTATAACATATCATAAATATTAGTACATTTTTATATATATTTGGTCAAACTTTTAAAAGTTTGACTCCTCGAAATGCGACATGCACATTTATTTGAGGACGGAAGGAGTACTTCCTCCTAATTCCATTTAGTTTTAGTTATGTTTACTCAGATTAAATGTCAAGTTCTATCTGAACCGCATATCTCAAACTCAATGTTTGGAGAAGTTTTAAAACTTTAGGCCTCTTGTATGCTATAAAAAAGGGCACAATTTTGTGATGTGTGTTACAATGAGGCTGCCGACCTATCATCTTTCTAATCGCATCAGGCTTCATGTACCATTGTACCTTGCAACTGGATACTCCCGTATATTAGCTTCTACATCACATAGATGGGGTGCGTGTGAAGAGCATGAAGAAGAAGTACCATCATCGTTTACATTGTTCTTCGTAATGGAAAATTACACCGTGGTATATACTTTATAATAATAAATAAGAATTGCATCTGACTGAGTACAAGCAGATATATAGCAAGTTATGGCATATTTTCCCTATTCCTCTGAGCCTTAATAATCGATCGACATCATCATGAGCATAATTATTCGACAATAATTCATTCCTCTGGTCAATTAGACAGGATGATGACTATAGGAGCTTAATTAATTAATGACATAGCTTGGTGAATGAGGCCGCCAGAGATGTCCGCGGCGCCTTTGCCTCCGGCGGCGGCGACCGACAACTACTGTCCCTCGGTGGTGGCGCAGGTCCGCAGTTGCCGCAGCACAGCATGCTGCTGGCCTTGTTGTCTTCCTCGACGTGGTGGCCAGGAAGAGGGACGTCCTCATGATCATGATCGCCCTTGAACAAGAAATCAGCTCGTTGTGACTTCTCCATCAGGTCCTGCCAAAAACGACATATAGATATGCACCAATTAGCTAGAATTCATCGATGCCCATGCAGGCATGAATGATGAATCGGAGGATATATATACATGTGTACATATAAACTATATATACAAATCTTAATTGTAGTACTTACCATGATCTAGAACTTGATGGATTGAGCTGCGTGGTATATGGACTAACTGCTTTGTTGAGCGCCGCTCTCTCGTTGCGATGAATCAATGAATGAACTACTACCGCGTTACATTACATATATATAGGGAAAGGAGGAAGGAGAAGTTCTTTGCTTGCTTCATGGCGTCCCATTTGCCAGCAAAGAAAGCAAAGTGTCAGATTCGTTGCGCTTGCATTGGCTGTAGGCCAGCTATCAGAGAGTCTCACTTTCACATTGAGCATATATTCCATGACGACGGACAAATTAATTAAACAGATCGACGGCGCCCCTGAACTCTCGACGCACGCCTCCGCCGCCACACATTGTTTATAGGAGGAGCAGAGAATTTCCCGGTGCAAAATTTAATTTATTATTGCCACAAACATCATGTCAATTTGAGTAACTGAACCGACAGTGACATGCCTTTAATTTTCAGGGATGATTATTCCTCTGCATCGACCTTCATGGGCCACGCAGTTAGTCCCATATTAGCTTTAAATTTGTATCACAGCAACATTAGGGTGCATGTGAAGTTGAAGAACAGGAATAACAAGAAGAACTAAGCAATTAAGTAAAGAGTTGCACTGAGTAAGTACAAGCAGATGACGTCAAGTTATGCCATACTCTCTCCATAAAAAAAAAGCAATTTTAGATTTTTACTAGGACAGATTGGTGAATAGTAAAAATAACTGCTCCCTGCATATTCCTATAAGTTTGATTGGTTTGTTAGTCTATGGCCTTGTTTAGATTACAAGTTTTTTCACTCTCTCTCTCCATCCCATCAAATCTTTGGACATATGCATGGAGTATTAAATATAGATAAAAAAATAACTAATTACACAGTTTGATTGTAAATTACGAGACGAATCTTTTGAGCCTAGTTAGGCCATGATTGGACAATAATTATCAAATACAAATGAAAGTGCTACAGTGCCAAATACTGATTCCTAACCCCAATTTAAACAAGGCCTAGATAACATTTAATACTAGCCTAGGTACTCAATGCATGCATGAGAAATTTTAAATGCTAGAATTATATTTCAAATGCTAAAATTATATTCTTCTTAAGGATCACATTTTTATGCGGCAAAGTTTAAATGCTAGAATCGTATTCTTTGTATAGGACGGAGGAAGTTTTCCATCTCCCTCCATCGACATCAACATATATAATTAATTAGAGAAAGAGGAGAAAACAAGCATGCACTATGCCAGCCGTATGCCGCGTTACATGTAACAATGCTATAGGAAATTAAAACAAGGACCACATGCTTCAAATGCTTCTTCAAGCAGCCGACAGCGCCTCTGGCTGTTGCGGTTGCCAGCAAGTGGCTCACTTTCTCGCTCTTGCATTTGAAGCAAAGCAAAGCAAAGTCAGATTCGTTGCGGTTGGCTGCAAATGGCTCACTTTCTCTTGTGAATATACGGAGTATACTCCATGGCACACAAGCAACCGACAGCGGCTCTGTGCTCCACGCACGCCGACCATTTCCTGTGCAAGCCGTAATTAGCCACACTTATGTTACGCAGCCCAATTTTCCCGTGCAAATGCGTACAGATAAAACTTTTAGATTTTAAATGGTTACAATTGTATATATTTTTCCTATAAGTAGAACCGTACTGTCTCTGTCCCTGAATAAATAGATTTCTAAAGTTGTTCTAAAAAAATGTTAAGATTTCTATAAAATATATTTTCATAAGGTGTTCATTTTATTTCATGGATGTTGTTATTTTTTTACTATAAAGTTAGTCTAACATGATTCTAAGAATTGATTTATTTGGGGACAAAAAAGTACTTCCTTTCTGTAATACCAATGCTTTCATATACTGTAACTTATGGACCTCACATAGCCAATAGAATGCCCCTGCTAACACTTCTTTCTAAGGGCGTGTTTTGGCAGAGATTCACCAGCTTCAGATTCACCATTTTCAGCTCCACTCTACCAAAAATTTCCTAAACAATTCAGATCCATCCGATCCAAATTCAACAAAATGGTAGATCTGATGGCCAGATTCACCATTTTGGTGGAGCTCCTTAGGAGGTGCTCCACCAACTCAAGTTTGGTGGAGTTGGAAAAACTTACCCACCACTACCACTTGTTACACAAACATAATGGTTCGATTGTTCTTTCTTGTTTTTCCCTTCCACGTTCTTCTTTCCATCGGGCATCGGGCTCGTGGCGCTTGGCGTGCCTTGACCTCCTCGGCGCTGTGAGGTGGATGTCGGGAGGAGGGCGTGCCGCCGCCGGCCGCGTCCCGCAAAGGCCCCTCCATAGCCGCTGGCGTCTGCGAGGCGCACCGCACCGCTTGCCGCCTTGTGCTTTGAATCACCGCTCGATCTTGCGACACTTTGCCCCGCCCGCCCATCGGCCCTTGTCGGTCGGCGCCACGCCTGCACCCTCACCAGTGGTGTTATTGACGGCTATCGAGGGTTGGTGGCGGTCGACGGTGATGAGAAGTGGAGCTCATCGGTGGTAGTGAAATCCGACGAGCACAGGAGGAGACACTGCGGGCATGGATCGGAGCCACGGAGTGGCGGAGCGGGCTAGTGGTGTCACTGCGATGCAGGAGAGGGATAAATCGAGGCCAGAGGTGGATCTGGTAAGGAGATCAAAGAGCTCCACCTCGGCTTGGCCATGGCGATGGTGTTGTGGGCGTTTACAAGAAACGTGTGGTTTTTTGACATCCTATTTATGTCAAAATGTATGGAATTAATGTCACAACTTAAGATTTGTGAGCAGTTGACTAAAATTTGAATGTCAAAAAACCAGTGTCACAAATTGATTATGTGACATTTGTATATTTAATGTCACAAGCTTATGACATTGGGTTTTAGTGTCATATAGGTTTAAGACATTGGTTTGTTGTCACAAGTCCTTGCACCATGCCATGTAGGCAGATGACGTGGCATTGAGTTGGTAGCCATTATAAATGTCACAAAATTGAAATACTGACTTGTTAAGGCCCATATTGCTAGCAGGCTTATAATAGGCCACAAACATTGTTTGGTCTAATTTTTTTCCATCGCGGCCCATTATATTTGAGAATTTTGGCCCGGTTTTTCTTGCTTAGAACAGCCCACAAAAATTTTCGGCCTATTATTCAATACAGCGCCCGTTTATTTTTTTTTCTGGCCAATCCAAAGCAAATTTTGCTGGGCTAGCCCACGCCAGTTGTTTTTGGCCAGCCCAAACCATATTTGCCTGCGCCAGATTCCCCTTTAGGCCAGCCCACACACAGGTCATATACAAAAGCAATAAATCATATTCAATTCATCCAGTCAACACATTTCAGTATTTTGCAACATATATTACAATATCATACAGGACCACCTGCATTACAATATCATAAACATTTCTCACTTCAATTTTAGATCATTACATCCGTCAAAAGTCACCAAATTCATACGACCAAAATCATACCAGAAGTCTGTCTTCCAAATTGACAAGCCAGGCTCAGATCTTCATTAGTCCATCCGTTTTAGACCATGTTTTCTACCAAAAAAAATATTATTTTAGTGTAAGGAAACGCGCACAACAATATTAGAAATATAAATGAACTGCACAGCAGCAGCAGAGAACGGCTTGAAATGAACTGCAGCAGCAGTAGCAGACTAAAATGAATGTTCATTTGTGAATAATTGAACGTCAGAAATTAAGAACGTGGTTCGTACCTGCTGCTGCTGCATATTTATTTTTTACTTTGTGTGAATCAGACACCTAGAACTTGCAGGACCTTGCGCATGCAAGTCCTGTGTGTAGCAAGAGTGCAAACAAAGACCTTGGTCCTCTTGACCATCATCTAAGTAGAAGGAAATTTTGATCTGAGAGTGAAAAAAATACAATTATTATTATTCCATGTCTGTGCTAATCCAAAAGCATGAAGTTCACACTAGCTAATGCAGAAATACTATGGTTTGAAATGGTTAAGAACGCTAGCTAATGCAGAAGTAGGGTAACTGCAATTATTAGCATCCAAACATACATAGAAAGCAGTAATAGAAATATAAAATGGTTCTCCAGTAGTTTTAACTTAATCTGCAGATTTTTCTTAAAGTGCAATACTGAGTTTTGGAGTTGAAAGCATGGAGCTTAAATATGAATAGTTAATGAATAGGTAGATACATAGTTTATAACACTAATTACTAAGACTCAAATGGAAATCAACTAGCAGCAGTATGGGAAATTAGAAGACATCAGGGATAGCACAGATCAGCTAAAGTCACAATACTGGAAATTAGAAGACATGAATTTTTGTAGCAAACTTGTATTCAGGTAAGTTAATTCCATTTCACTTTAACTTACCCTTGGCAAAGATGAAAGAAATCATATACAACAGGAAAATTACAAACGCCAGTACCACAAAATAATAGGATAGGATCGGAATACACGATCTAGTAGAATCATGTACTGCAGTAGTTCTCTTTTCATGGTACAAAATAAACTGGATAGCTACAACTGACTAAAATTACTATCAGCAGAAGACAAACTGGATAGTAACACAATGGTAAAGACATGGTAGTTTGTCAGCTGCATTAATTTGTGTGCAGTGATACTCTGCATATTTCTTGTAGCCAAATCAAATAAATTGTTATGGACAATGTTCCTAACAAATAAATTCAATAACTTGCTGCTTCTTAACTAGCTAAGTAGCATCTCTATGAAGATTTAGTAAGCATAAGTAGTACTGATTCCAGTGGTGCTGTACAAGCCATACGTTTTATTTTATCTAGGCAAAATTTAGCCGGTTGCTACAAATGAACTGATAGTGATCAATTGTTATCACAATACGATATAAAAATACCAGTTTACTCTACTGAAACATGGGATATGCATACATGT